GGCCGGCGCGTCCGGGCACCATCGGCGTGCTCGTACAAGTGCCGATGGGGAAGAATGGAAAGTATACCCGCTGTACTGTGTGGCTGAGGCCGAACTGTCCCCCGCTGGTCTGCGAGAGGCGTAGGACGGAATCTCTCGCCTCGTTCTGAATCAATAGAGGTCGGATCGAAAGCAAGACGTGCCTCTGAGAACAATTCAATGACGTGTGTACTATGAGAGGGCGGGTGGGCGAAGAGCTCGGCGTGCTCGATCTCAAAGGCGAGCCATTTCTGGTCCTTGGGGGGGAGTGGAATTGGGGCTGCCGTGGTGGAGGAGCACGCCGGGGGGGATGGTGACGACGAAGAGAGACATGCCGTTGTGGTTGAGCGAGGAGCCCCATTGTCGCATGGCCGACTGGATCGCATTGAAGATGTCGAACGCGTTGCGCTGTGCGGCTGCCTTGCTGGGGCCGAACTCGGTTGGGTCTGTCTCGGGGATGGAGGCTGCGGATGAGAATATGGTGAATGTGGCCAGGCCGAGAATGACCGACTGCTTGATTGATGCCATGGTTGCCATCAATTGATCGTGAACGGGACGCGTCAGCCGCGACGCCCGAATCGTTGGCTGCGGTCGACTTAAGCCAAAATTAACGGGATGACGGATTTGAAAGGAGGGCACCTATCGTTGTAAAGGAAGAGCCAGGCGGGTTGCCTTGCAGCCCTGGGTCGAGCGCCGGACGATAAGGGGTCGAGTATGGTGGTACAGAGTAGTAACTAGAGCAGAACCATCGTGAGATTGCACCCCGGAATTAGCGGTCAGCTGTGCCGAGACGCGGCTCGGTCTCCGTGATTCGTCACCCGTATAATGGTAAGACATTGACCGCAGGCACTATACATGGATTTCAGGGAAGCGCACATTCTCCATATTTAATATTCTTCCGCTTCTCAGATGTGATAATTGATCGTGGCCTTTATTTCACGAGAAAATGCGGGTATGGCATGCCAACTAACAAGTCTAGCTCAACTGGAATAACCCCCTCGACAACGCCACAACAAGTCACATCGCAAGGCAGGACATCTTGCTACCAATCCCAAGTCGTCTCCCAGTCTACCGAATCCGAATAATCTCATCCGGGCCCCTTTCCGCCGACGTAATAGCCTCCCCATCCATAGCATTGTGAATGTACGCATCCCCAACAAACGACATGGCCCCATCCGGTCTCGGCCGCAGTACATACGGCACCGTCGTGCCGTACAAGATGCAAATGACATCCCCGACCTTCACCCCAGGGCACCCGAGCCCCAACATGCCCGTACTCGTGCTAATATACGGCCGACCTGAACACATCGCCTTCATGGTCCCCGTAAACTGCAACAACATGGCATACTCCTCCACCGGCAACTTATTCCGCCACGCCCGCACCGCACTATCCGCAAACCTCTCCACCGCATCCGGCACCCCCCTCAAATACTCCGGCAGCGGGAACCCCTCCTCCCGAATCTGCCGGATCGCCTCGTCCCTCAACCGACAGCCCATCCAAAAGATATGATACGCCTCGAGCGCGCGCCCCTCCATCGCCGGGCCCCCCGCGGCCGCATGCGAATGCGCCAGCAAGATATCGACATGAAACCGCGGAAACTGGTCCGGGCCGAGCCCGTACACCTTCTGGCAGAGGCGCATGCAGTCCTGCTCCCACTCGCGCGTGGCGTCGCCGTAGACGTCGTGGCGCTTCATGTTCTGGTTGGCCTCGCGAAACGCCGTCTGCGGGATGATCTCGCTGACCGTGTCGAGCCGGAACCCTTGCGCGGTCAGCTCGGTCGCGCTGATGCTGCGGTTGGTGAGGTGCGCTGTGGAGGGGGAGAGGCCCGCTGAGAAGCCGCAGGAGGGAGTGGTGAATGCGGAGGCGAAGGGGGGTTTGGAGTTGAAGTTAGGCGCCCAGGATGGGAGTGTGTTGTGGTCGGGTCGGTCTCGGGAGAGGGCCGAGGAGAGGAAGTACCATTCTGGGTCGTGCTCCAGCATGCATTTGGCGAACTGGGCGTAGAGCTGCCACATGGTTTGGCTTGGTTGAGCGGTCTGGAGGCTGGCCATGTACTCGCGCACTTGGCGCGGTGCGACGCCCATGATGGCGTGCACCCGGTCAGGGGCCATGGTGACTTGCCGCGAGCGGGACTCTCCCACTAGACCTCGGAATCTCCTGATGTCTAGTCCTTCCAGCATCTGCTCGATGGAAGCGCCTCCTAGCCGCAGCGCGTTGAGGTTGACGATTCCGATGATGGCGTTGTTCATGTCATCCTCGGAAGCACCCGGGAACCGAATCAAATCCAGCGAGCCGTATGTCAAGATCTCGGTCGCAAGCTCGACTAGCAGCCCGAAATCGACCTCCTGGTAACCGCACATGACGACCAGCTTGCGCGCCAGCAGCGCCTCTTGGACGGTCCACAGACGGCGGAACCATGGCCTCATAAATAGGTGCCCATAGTACTGCCCATGATCCTCATTGATAGTCGCCGCAGTGTCGTCTGGCAAATCAGCCCTGGTAGCAGTGGCCTGATTCAAAGCGGCCACCTCATCTAGCATTCGTTCCATGTTCTTCAGCGCAGAGGCGCTTTGGTCGGCCGTCGGACCGAGCCAGATGAACACCTTGCTCGCCCTGGAGTAGATCTCGCCCATGCGGTACATCTGATCTAACTTTTCTGCCTGGTCGTCCTGGTTGATGCAGATCTGGTCGATCCACAGTAGCTCACGCGACCCGGTCGCATGCTGCGAGGCCTGCACTTGGTTCAGGACCTCCAGAACCGTCTCCGAAATGCTGAAGCTCTTCATGTCCAGGAACATGCCCCGCCTGGCGCTGGTCGGGTCCCAACAGTATGAGATGGCAATGTATGGCGGAGGTTTTGCGAGCGGATGCGATTCCAGATATGCCAGAGGGTGGGACCCTAATCCGCCCAGTCGGAGAAATCGCGCATGTCCTTGTGGAAGGGGTGGGTATTGGTATGTCGTCGGCAGAGCCAGGGGCATCCGCGCGAGCTCGGTGTTGCCTTCGATGTCTCTCCTCTCGTTTACTTCCGACACCACATCGCGGGCCTCACGCGGCACGACACGGGCGTTGGCCAAAGAGATATTCGATACTGTTATACTGTCGGGTGCCATGCCTAGTGGCTGGCTGAGTTGGGAGATTATCGACTCATGGTACTGTGGTGGAAGACCTGCGATGCCCTCGCACAGAGAAGTACAAACATGACTGCCGGGTGCACTTCGTTGCGGCTTTATTACTGGTGATCCTGGTGTTGGTTCCTGGCCCGGGGCGTTATTACCCCCCGATCCCTTGCGGTGACGGCGAAAGAAGCGGCGCATTTCCAGTTTGGTTCGAAGGTGACGGGTTTGGGCGCCAATATGGTGAGTGGCCTGGTTCTTTGTACCTGAGATGCGGGGTACGGGAACGTTTTTATGACTTGTCCCACTCAGATTCCGAGGCTGTGTAGATCGGGGACGACGATAGATGAAGGACCAGACAACTCAGCAGCCTAACGAGATCAGGGAAATGCAATATCAGGCCGTAGCATACAACACAGTAACTAGGTATGTACCTACTCCCAAACCATACCCTGAATTCATCCCTCGACTTTTTTGATGTCCTGCGCCTGCAGCTTCAACTCGGCCTCGTTGAATTCGTCATCCTCGGTTGGGAGCTCCAAGTGAAATTTGGACATCTGCGCCGCCGAAATGTCCACGTCACCGTCTGTCTCAAAAGCGAGAATGTGGCCTCCCTGCTGCCTGTCCTCGGCAATGAAGTGGAAGTGGTCTCCGGCCACGTTGACGCCCATTACATACTGCGGACATCTGAACCCGACAATCGTACCCTTGGCGTTCTTGAAGGTGTGAGTCGTTTGCCGGGCGCACACGGACACCATGCCTTCCCTGGGTGTTGTCTGTCCGCCAGCGGTCCTTACGTTGACCTCCTTGAACACGCCATCCATCCTGACCACCAAAAAGTGGTTTCGAGCCTTCGGGAACAGGCCCGTCAGCAACCTTTCCAGGCTAGCTTTGCCAGCCACGGCAGCCCTTTTTGTGATTGTGGGTTTGAATCGCGTCACAGTGGCGAAAGGCGTGACTGTTTCTTCGGGGTTGATGTGCACGACAGACCCGTCCGCCTTCATCTGGTAGACGTCGCCATTGAGCACAATCATCTCGCCAACCATGTTCCGAAAGGTTCCGAGGCCGTGGTCGCCATGCTCAAGAATGCGTGCGATCGGTGTGCCGTGTGAGGCAACTCCATCCACAAGGGCTGAGATGATGGAATACTGAAAAATTTCGTTGTAGGCCATCTTGGCGGCCTTTTGGGAACTTAGCTGATGACGAAAATGGTAATTCTGGGTTGGGTGGGTGAATGTTGGGCTAATTGGGCAGAACACAGCCGGATTCGGCGGCGGAGCTGAGGTTTAAGGGCCCTGGAACGCGGGTGTGTTTTGGTCGCTGAACACCAACCCAAGGGTTTCTTAAGCTCAGCATCGCAACTCTCGGAAGCACAATAAGGAATGCGAAATATGCAATGCGGGTGCTTACTCACTACATCAAAGTTCACTAAGATCGACGATGGCATGCCTGTGGTCGCTTTATACTCCTTTCCTTATTCGGATTTAATTCCTGCGCCGACTTTCGCTGGTCTCGAACATCGCGGCAGGACCCCACCTTGGAAGTGTGATCAGGCCCGCGTGCTTTGCCCAACCAACCTCAGTGACCTCAGTGACCTCCGTATCTGGGCAAACTGTCCTCAGAAACTGGCCAACTTCGTTAGTTATACCTAGTTACTGCACTGCATACCCAACATATACAGATGTCCCTACCAAAAGAATTGGCTCACCGCCCGTTAAACTGTTAGTGCCTATGGGGCTTTTTCTGCCAAGCAGAACCACTAAAATCCGGAAGGCGGTGAGCCAATTCTTTTGGTAGGGACTTCCGTACTGTACTGTGGTGCCTATTTATGGTGCATAAGGACCTCTGGGTTGTTTCCCCTGTACTGCTCGGTGGGGCGCGCCAAACTCCCTGCGAGCTGCTGCCAAACAACTGTCAAATCGACAAAATTATCCGTGCAAGCCCTGTCAATCCATACCTGTGCCGGCCACCGATAAGGAAGGAAGGACGAAGTATGACGACTCCGAAGGCTGAGTTCAAAACAAAACAAACAAGAGGGACCGTGCCGGAAGCGGCACGCCAAAAAAAGCCTGGAGGAACACACCGGCGCAGGTATCTGTCGATAGCGGCATCATAATGCTGTTGTGTGATTGATATTAGGGCAAGGGCAATTGAGCAGAACTGGGAAAGGAAGCAAAGCAAAGGTGGTCTCTTCTTCTTCGGTCAATGTCGGGTTTAGTCATACAGCGGCCCTTCTTCCTTCCCGCTGTGGATCTCTGTCTTCTGACCGGTTTGGGAGAGCTTGGGTTTTTTACCAACCGACCAACTAAAGCCATGGTACTTCCCGAAAACGACGGTCAAGGTAGTTACCGGAATCGGATTCATGGAATTTTGGCAGCACAAAGACTCGGATTAACTCAAGGAGACAAAGGAAAGATTTAGGATAAAGCCACTTGCTCTGAAGAATTCTAAGAGAGAACAGAGAGGGATCAATCAACCCCTTTCTCCCCATTTTCTCCATCTGAGTGTCGATTCCAACACCAACCTCACATTATTTGTTTTCCGGGCAGTGTGATGGCAACTGCTAAAGTTCAGTTTCGATTTATTTGTCAACGTGGGGCTGTGGAGTTCGATCGCTTCCACGGCATACCAGGCAGCTTAGTTTGCAGAGCAGACGATGCTGCAGACATCAGCGAAGAATATCGTCAGCTGTGGTCCGACACAACACGACATATCCTGAGACGAAGCGAAGCGGACTGTCTAGCACATTCGTTCCGTACTTGCGCCTGCGGCTGGCCAGCCGTCACCACCGCTCAGCTTCCCCTACCTTTCGTCTATAAGCCGGAGGGTCGCGTGGAGGTTCTGGTCGAGCCACTTTGTGACCTTGAGAAATGCCGGACTCGGGTGCTGCAGGAAACACTGAAAAGAACGTCTTGGTTTACAACGGCCATGGGTTGTACAATTTGTGCGAAAGTGGACGGTGTGATGAAATGCGGGCGGTGTCAGGTCGTGGCGTACTGTGGGAAAGCGCATCAAAAGGTTGACTGGGCGGCGCATAAGGCGGGCTGCATCGCTCCACGCGAGGTTAACGATAGTGGCGCGGCCCAGGCGGGGTCTGTCCGGCCTCGTCCGACAAGCACCGAGGACGCGCACGTCTTCGAGGATGAGTCAAGCGACGATGCGGAAGCAGTTTATGAATTCTCTTATTCAGCGATCTTTGAGGCCGATGACGGGACGAAAGTTGAGCTGACTAAAGAGGATGTTCTCGCATACTTGTTGTCGTCAGAACCTGGCGACGAATAATACCTCTTAAGTCAGCCTGGGGGGGCTTACCCGACAATATATACGATTATTTATTCCTACATCACTGGTTATTTCGACGGTATGTCCTGGATACTCGGCGAGGAGAAAAAAAAGAGAGCAAGAGATCTTGTCAGGGGCTGAGATGGGTGTGTCCTTTCGGCTTTGTCGTTCTTGTAATGCAGTGGCGTTCAGAGTTGGTGGGGTTGGGCGGGTGAGTGAGTAACCTGGGCACTCTCGAGTGGCCTAACCAGACACCAACTTCTGGCCAAGCCCTTCGAAGACGTCAATGCCCTCGTACGTATTGGCGGTCCCGGGACAGGGTAGACAACGAGACCATTGGCCTGATATTGGTTAAGAATGGGGACCAGTTAGACAAATCCTCTGTCATTGTTGAGCAGCGGAATACCCGGGATAAACTTCCCCAGCTCCTAGTCTTCGTTGTTATTTAAAGGACGCGGTTTCTTGCTCCCGTGGCTACATATCCTAGTTCTGGACCCTCCCATCGTGAGCCGTCACACTCAGAACTTTTATGCGCAAAACCCCACGCCCCACAGCGACTCCACTGTTCCCAAGCCCTCACCAGGTTCCACAACCACACCCACCGAATGAGTCAACCAAGTCTCCGAAAACCCTTTATCACCACCCTAACAAGTACCGGCAGCACATCAAACAAGGGCCGCTGGTCTAGTGGTATGATTCTCGCTTAGGGTTCACTCCTGAGTACTGTTCTGCGAGAGGTCCCGGGTTCAATCCCCGGGTGGCCCCTTTACATCTGTCTCCTCATCTAACCGTGGGAGAGATGGTTCCTCTTTTTGAGCACCATGACATCCAGCCCTTTGTTAGTGGGACGTTCTCTTCAATCCTGGGGTGGGGGTAATACCTGCTGCCAGGCTGCCGTTTTGGATACAGCCCGCGGGAACATGAACGGCCGGGCCCTCGAAGTTATCATTGTAGTTGTGGTGACCAGAACCGCTGGAGTTGGATACCTACCTAGGTAGTTGTGTTCTCTCCTGGGGAGAATAGGGATTCCGTGCACCGCCCAACGGGTGCTCAGAAACAGGCAGTCCCAGACAGTCCCAACAGTAATATTATTTATGCCTGGACCTCGCACAACATCGTTGCCTCGAGACCACCCACTCAGCCCCCCGCTAACATCTCGCTACTCCCGTACATACTCGCCCGAATCCCGTACCCATTGTTCTCATAAATCCCTAAGTGGGTATACGCATCACACTTATACGTAATCCCCCGCGGCATGTCCGCCTTGACCAGTCCCAGCACCACCAACCCCTCCAACACCCTCCTCACATCCGCAACATCCGTAAAGTCCCTGGTATACACGCATACCAACCTCGTCGGATCCCCCTGCAGCCCCGACGTCGATACCTTGGCCCCAACCCCCAGCCGGCCAGCATCCACCCCCTCACACACCACCCGCCACACCTCATTCACCTCACTCTCCCGAGGAAACAGCATCCACTAACCCGCACCACCACCAGTCAGCACAGGTACCCCAACCAGCACCACAGCGCAGAAGCAGAAGACAACAGAGCTAAACTCACCTTCCCCCCCGCGACCCCGCACCCCCTCGCCAGCGTCCCAATCTCCCTCACCAGCACGTCCCTCCACCCCTCCACCCGCCCCAAACCACCATCGGCATCGCCCCCCCGCACCGCGAGCTCGACCGCCCGCCGGAACTCAGCCAGCAGCGCGGCGCCCGCGCGCGTGAAGCCCTCGACGTCGCCCGTGTCGTCGAATCCGGCGGGGGTGTGCGGGTTGGCGATCCAGTACCACCGGGGGAGGAGGTGGGGGGGCGTGGTGTAGGGGGCTTGGGCGGGGGGGAGGCGTTGGAGGAAGTGTGGGAGCGGTTCGTGAGGGTGGCGCGTGAAGGGGGGGAGGGGGGTGGAGGTGATTGTGGGGGTGGGGGGCGGCTCTGGGGTGGTTGGGGGGAGGGGTGGGGGGGGGTTCCGGGGGGGTGGGGGGTGTTGGGGGGGAGGGGGGGTTCATGAATATCGGGGGTTTGGGGTGACTGGTGGTTGTTGGAGGTTTGGGCAGGTGAAGTGCTAGGGGCCGCTCGGTAAACCGAACCTGTAGTCATCAATCAATCTTCTCGGGGTTGGTTCTGATTCTGATTGGTGCGTGACAAGGATGGCTGAACTGGCCTTGAAGTACCTTACTTTGACCGCTCACAGGTGTCACTGTGTGATCCGACATCTACGATGTCGTTTAGTAAGCTGGAAGCGGAATCGAGAAGCGGCCAGGTCTGCCAGATTTCATCGCGGACTGTCATGGCAGAATCACTGCAGTTTGGGAAGATATGGAGCGAAGAACAACACAGCTCTTGGGCTGGCTTCAATCATTTCAGTGCCTTCGCGGCCTGGAACTTATAATCAATGTAAACCACAATGCTTTGCCCATGAACCTTGACCACCGACTCCTTCTTGATCCTCCGAACGCCACAAAGTTCTTGGGTATCATGACCATTCCACCGCCAGCAACCAAACGCCACAACATGACACGTTTGAAAATTCATGGTCCTGTCCGCCCCATCCTCAATCATATTACATGTCGAGGGCCCGGACCCGCTCTCCCAACTGTGAAAGAATGTGTTAGCATTGAACCAAATCATCAAACCAGGTCAGCAGAGGTCGTAGCTTACCTCCTTCAGCGTGATGTCGCCATCCGAGAGGGCGACGAGCAGGTTGCACATCTGGCGGAAGCGGTGGGCGTCCTCGTCGCGCTGGTCTTTGAGATCGTCGATTTTCTTCTCCAGCTCGTCCACCTTGTCGTCGAGCTCCCCAACCTTGGTCTCCCGCTCGTCGTCCGCGCGCTCAAGCGCGCGGCCTCGGCGTCCACCCGCATCGCGTTCACCTCCTTGATCCGGTCGAACACGGCATCCATGGCGCCGCGGTCGGCGTCCCATTGGCTGCCGTGCCGCCGGATCGCGGAGAGGAGCTCCTCCTGGCGCTCCACCAGAGCCTCGAGGGCGGCGAGGCGGGCGGCCAAGTTGGCCGACATGCCGGCGATGGGTTGGGTGTTGCGTGCGAGGGCGGCGGAGTTGGGGGGCGGGGGCGGGGCCAGAGAAGCGGCGGGGAAGGGGCAGATGGGGGGTAGCCGTTGTACCCGGTGAGACGGGAGAAAGCGCGCTGGTTCGCCGACACGGTGAGGATAATTTGCTTCATCACGGCCTGGGAGTTAAACATGTCGTCCCAGCTGGCCTCGAAAAATTGGCGGTTGCGGAAGAGGACTGCCGCGAAAAGGTCCCCTGTTGGTCGATCCGACCGTTGGTGGCCAGTTCCAACAGGGTGCCGACATCGTTCTCCGCGGCAGGCAGCAGCGCGTCCAGGTTCTCCCCGGTGCTCTGGTTCTTCACGGCCTCCAGCGCCCAAAGTATCTTCTCCATGTTAAAGGGGTCATTAGGATCGGTCGGGTCGGCCGGGTCGGTGGTGTTAGTGGTGTTGGTAGTGTTGGTAGTGTTGCCGGCGTTGTCGGGGACGGCGGTCTCGATCAGCGCACTCTCGTTGGCGGTGCCTGCATTCTAAGTCCAGTCAGCAATGGGCGAACAAAGCTGAGTAAGTCAAGCGCCAGAAAGTGCCAGAGTGCTGCTTCTCCAGGAGACCTTTTTGGAACGAAGTTCCGCAAAGTTCAAACTGTCTGCGCAACAAAGCCGAGCTGCTAAGCAACGGCTCTCGGCCTAACACATAAAGTGTACCTGGAGACCTTCCGTATGGGCAACTGGTGGGAGGCTACCCTGAGACAGCAGTAACCCGAAGGTCAAGGTCTGGAGAGCCCAAGAGAAGCGGAGGTTTCCCTTTCGGTTCGCCCCCACCAGACATCCCCTCACGCAAGAACCAACCTCATCGTTCGGTCTGGCGCACAGGTCCTGACGGGTGATAGGGGATTCTGGGTTCTTGGTGGTTATGGGCGGGCCGTGGTCTATGCCCGGAAGGTTTCTTCGCTTCGGCAGCAAACGAAGAGGGGGGAAAGGGGAAGCGATGGTGTGTGATGCCATTCTGGGTCTGGAACATCAGTGGACTTACCATGTTTGTACTGGAGCTTTCGCTCCCAATTCTCTCGCCAGAACCGAGATCCGACTCCTCGTCGATTTCCATGTCGATGATGCCCTTTGGACCTGTCAGCACGCTAAAAACGGCGGGCGATTATTTCACGCCAAATAAGGCAATCAAGAACACAAAAAAAAAAAAAAAAGAAAAAAAGAAAAAAAAAGGAAAAGGGTTTTCTACCTCCTGGTTGGCGGCGTCGGCTTGCTCTTCCGCCACAACCACCCGGTGAGCAACTCTTCGCCGTTCCCGGCGCGCGTTGATGTTGTGGTACGGCATTGTGAGCGAAAGGGGAAATAAAAAGAAGAAGAAAAAGCCCGGGGGCGACGACAAGAACTCGGAGGTGATGCGAGGGGAGATTGTCGAAGGCTGCGTGAGAAGTTTAGAAGAGGAAGTTGAAGAACGGTGGGTGGAGGGGGATTAAATGCTGCGAAGAGCGGGGCCAGCAAGGGCGCTGATTTCAAGAAAACAATAGGAAAATAGGGCTCAATAAGGCACAATAGGAATTAATTGATGACAATAGGGTGCAGTGTGGCCGGGCGCGTGGGGCGGCGAACGCGTTGAGGTCAGATGAAAAGAACAGCTCCCCTCACGAGAAATCGCGTCAGGAAATGGTGGCCACCTCTCCCAACGACTTTCTACGATGTTAGGACTTTGTCTCTCGCTGCTGGCTGTAAGACCGGGGCCCTCCTTAGAGAAGTGAGGAAGAGAAATGCAGGGAAATTAGAATAAGTCATTCTGTCTTGCTTTCCCAAATGAAATACTCGTTCGTTCAAAGCCATGGCCAGGCTGGGACTGAGGGACAGGGTATAGAATGTCAATGTTGACACCGCTTAGTCCCCAGCTTGCCAACCAGCTTCTTGTACCTTACTGCCGGCGAATAACTCTCAGACAAAGGCTCCAGGAATATGCTTGTTTACTTCAGAGTCAGTTGATAAAGTATGCAGTGCTGAAAATGCCCAAAGCCCAAGTCTCTAGTTATTCATTTCTTGATCAAAACACTTGAATTAGACCAGAACGGTCGCCGATTCCAGAAAATGGCAGGGGAAATTTCCCAGATGGTACTTATACCGGCAGGGCACAGTGATTCACTTTTGGAGATAGGCACTGGCAATTCCATTTTCTTTTTCGTGGCCCTCGGTCACTGCGTAAACCTGTGCAAGCACATATTCCATTGAGTCTCTCTAATCGTACGGGTTCGCCAACCTATTTGTACGGGGTCCGCACAGACCACCTGGATTCTGCCACGCCCAGTATCGTTGGCCGGGGGATGAGAGTTGTTGTTCAAGAGTTGTTCAGGAGTTGCTCAGATGTTTCCGTCAGGGGTTGGGGTTACAGCGCGTTACTGACCATGCAGTCAGCAGGTGCGAAGGTTCACCCCTCTCCACCACTGCTTCCTTGGCAGTTACCACAGAATTGAGCGTGATCCGAAGCCGTTCAGAAGCCTTTAATTGCACCAGAGAAGCACAGTCGCATCACTACTTATCACATTATTACCATCCCCAACCCGACCTACCTGTCTCAGCCAGGCCTGTGACACTCGCACCCTCGGCAACCAACCCGCCAAGATGGCTGACGACGGCAGCAGCGGCCCCCACCCTGTGGATCAACCACCCGAAGCACCCCTCGAGTCGCCTCAGGTGCCTGGAGACGGTTTCGATTCCTTTGAGGAGCTCTTCGAGTACATCAATCAGTGGGCGAAGCCCCGTGGCTATGCCATTATCATCCTCCGATCTAGCGACCGTCAAGACGGGAGACCTCGCCGATACGACCTCTGTTGCGACATTGGCGGCCCCCATCATGACTCCTCCTCTACAGGGCTTCGCAAGGCCAGCAGCAAGAAACGAGACTGCCCCTGGCTCGCGAAGGCAGTTCAGCGCAAGCTCCTCGGCGACCGATGGTATTTCGAGGTCCGCAGCGACCACCACAACCACGAGCCATCTCTTGACCCTTCGGCCCACACTGCCCATCGCAAGAGGGCCTGGACTAAAGAGCAGAAGGAAGAGATCCGCCAGGTGTTCAAGACAACGACTTCTGGATCACGTGATGTCGCTTCATTTATGCGCGAAAAGTACCCCAGCCAAGTATGTCCCTCTTCTTCGTTACGATGAGTATACCTATGCCAACTCTGCCATGACTCTAGATTTGGACACGACGAGATATCGAGAACGAGATGAGCAAAGCGAAGGCCGAGGCCCTTGGTGGCTATACCCCTACACAAGCCCTCCTCAAGCACTTTACCGACACTGGATCAAACACCGCGTTCGCCAACTTCAAGGTCGTGTCGTTGCTCTTGTTTGGACCTACCCCTTTTGTGAGGAGATGTGGCAGCGATTCCCGGATGTCATCTCTATCGACAACACTTACAAAACCAACCGTTTCCAGATGCCCTTCCTCAACGTCACTGGCATCACGAATATCCATACAACTTTCAATGTCGCCTTTGGGGTGGTCAACAAAGAGGACGAGGACGTATACCAGTGGCTTATCCAGATGCTGGATGAGCTCCGAGAGGATGCTGGTGCCTGCCGACCTTCTGTCACCATTACCGACTTCGAACGAGCCCTCAAGAACGCCCTGAGCAACGTCTAGGAGAACGTCGACCAACAGGTCTGTCTCTGGCACGTGTTAAAGAACTGCCAGACTGAGGTTAAACTCAAGTGGCAGTGGGCCGACGGCCAGCGGCCCCAACAACAGCAGGTGGCACGAGGAGAACATGAAGAGGAGGACCATGTAGATCCTGCCTTTAGGGATCTCATCGCTCTTGCAATCAACGAGGCCCCCATCACCAGCGGCAGCAGGGTCCCCTTCTCTGAAGTGCAGACAACCCGAACGGCTTTATATCTCTGTGGAAGGCTGCATATATGCTCTACTGTCGCCGAGTTTGAGACAGC